TGGCGCTGGGGTACCTAGCAGCTGAGCTCCTGCCCACTCTGTGCTGGGCCCAGCACGTACGAACCGACCACCGTGGGCGGGCGAGTGAGTCGCAGGCGGAGGGGCCGCTCCGCCTGTAGCCCCCGGCCCACCCCTGCTCTGACGCTGGCTCTGTCCCATGCGGGCTCCCCCGGTCCCACTCCCAGCAGCATGAGGGGCAGGGCCCCATGGCGTCAGCTGGCACTCTCCCACGTGGGGGGCGGTTTGCTCCCCCTGCCACAGGCCACACACTGATCTCAGCCGGGGGGGACTCGCTCTCCGCTCCCTCCCCGCCGGCCTGGAGCCTCTCAGGGAAGATCCAGGCTTCATTCACTAGCATCAGGCCAGGAGCCCGGACCCAGGGCCCCCAGCTCGGCCTGTCACCCGCGCCCAGGGCCCAGGCTGCCCTAGCTTCTGCTGGGAGGCCCAGGCTGGGCGGCCATGGACGCAGCATCATCCCCAGGGGATTGTTCTCGAGGGCTGCGGGGTTGGGGTCCTGCCCACCCCCGCCCCCCGCTCAGGAGAGGCCCAGCGCTGGTGGTGGAGGCGCATTGACTGGGAGAGCAGAGGGCTGCTGGTGGAGACTAAGGGGCAGCAGTCCAGCTGGGGGAGAAGGTGGCAGTCTGCCTGGCTGGGCTGTCCCTGCTGTTGGTCCCAGGGTGTATTCGAGGGCAGCCGAGGGCGCGCCTGACCCTGCTCTGAGCGGGATGCACAGCACCGTGGCCGGGACCCCTCGGAGCCAGGCTCTGGCCTGTGGGAATCAGGCAGGCTGGTGCCTGGGAGCTGATGCCAGCATCTTCCCCTCCCTCCCCTGCAGCTGCTGCTTGCTGGTGGCCCCTTTGCAAGGCTGAGCACTCACCTGCCTAGGCGGGCGGCCCCTCCCAGGTGCCAAGGTGCTGGAGATGTCAGCGGTTCTGCCCAGGAAGGCGTGTGCACTGCTCCCTCCACACGGCTCCCTGGAGCCTGGCCCCCTCCCCCGCGGCACTGCCACGTGAGGCTCCACAGGACGTGTTTCAAAGGCCAAGTGACAAGTGCAGAGTCAGGCCGTCCCAGGGATGCTGCCCAGCCCGTCATTCGTAGCACGCTGGGCTGCCACTGCATGGCACCCTGCCCTGACTGCTCTGGCCTAAAGGACTGCCCTGGCGCACCCTGCCACCCGCGTGGCGCTTTGGCAAAGGGAGAGGGCAGTTCGAAGAGGCGCATTGACCAGACTTCTTCTGTGGGATTTGTCCTAAAATGCTGGGTAGTCTTGAGCAGCTGCCCCCTTCCACCCCAGAGGTGGTTGCATTTCAGTGGTGGGTAAACGCACCTGCGCCCTGTTTGCACCTTACTGGCCCCAGTGTTTCCAGGGGCGCAGCAGCTAGCCCCAAATACAACAGAAAGCAGGTCAAGCCCAGGGGCACCTGGCCTTCCTGTGGCAGTGCTCAGCAGGGCAGTGTTAGTGCAACCAGCAAGGGGTGCGCCCAGCCCATGGTGCCAGGTGCCAGCTCGACACTCAGCCGGGAGTGATCATGGACCTGGCCGGCTAACACAGGCCCTGCCGAGCTCGCCCCAACCTGCTGGGCTGCATTCTGCAGCCAGCCTCCTGAGTGGACAGATGACCCTGCCTGCCTCGCGCTCCCTTTCCCCATTCCTTCTCCTTCCCCTCCCTGTGCCCCTGGGACTAGGAGACCTGGTGCCAGGGCTGAGTTTCTGCTCTGCACCCCTGCCCTTGCAGCCCAAGGAGGAAATGCTGCCCCTGCCCCTGGGCACCATTGTTCCTGGCTGTGCGGAGTAGGGTGCCACCCCATTCCGCCCGGGGGCATGGAGCAATGCCGTGTTCCCCATGTTCTGCCCGGGGGCATGGAGCAATGCCGTGTGCCCCCATTCTGCGCAGGGGTAAATGGGAATCAGGCTCCCAGCCCTGCTCTGTGTAACCCCCACACACCTCCTGGTGTGGTTCTGGCCCATCTAGTGGCACCGAGGCCACTGAGAGAGAGAAAATGAGTCTACTCTCCTGCCTTAGCGAACGGGCAGGTGGCTTTTAGCTCATGCTGTAGTGGCTCATGCACTAAGCTGCAGAGGTCCCAGGTTCGATCCTGCCCGCCGACGTCGGCGTTACATTTGCACGGCCCTGCTGTGGCACAAGATGCTGCAGCTGGGGACAGTTCCACTTTGAGACCCAGCTGAGATGCATCGTCGTGTTCTCAGCTCCAGTTCTGTCTGACTCGCTGGCCTGGGGCCAGGTGGGAGCACCAGAGTTCACCGTCACTTCTGTGCCAAGACCAGCGGCAGCGTGCCGGTGACACCCGCTCTGGGCTGAGGCTCCAGGTACGTCCCTAGCACCCCTCGCCGCAGACGCTGAGTGCAGAAGGCTCAGCCCCACTGCACGCCCCAGAGTGAGTAGGTGCCTTGGCCAAGGTCACCCATGGGCTCGTGGCAGGAATCGAGCTGGGCGGCCCCCAGCGCTCTCTCCATTAGACCGTCCTGCCCCCGGGCCTGACGCCTGAACTTGCCCCCGGCCGGAGGCAGCATCAGAGCTCTGCCATGGTAACGAGTGTGATGTCACACGCAGGCCTGTGCCCTCATGGCGCGATGACATCATATGGAGGGAGCTGGGGGCAGAAGCTCTGTGCCAAACGCTGGACTTCTGCAGCGAGTCGCCCTGTCCCACCCCGGCGTGAAAGGCCTTTCTGGGTCGGGACCGTTCCCGGGCAGCTGCCAGCAGCTCGCCCCCTGGGAGGCGAACAAGCCCTCGCCCCGCAGCACCCTGGGCACAAATCCCCTGCAGTGGGCTCGGGGCGGGCCCCATGCTGCCCCCTGCTCTGCTCTGGGGCAGGCAGAGCCCTTGAGCACCTGTCATTTGCCCTCCTTGTTCCCCCTGGATTCTCTGCTCTGACGTGCGGGCAGCAGGGCTACCGCTAGGCATCCTGGGACACGGGGACCCAGAGCGGGTGGCACACTGCATGACAGCCCTGCCCCCTCCCTGCAGGCTCCGTGGTGACTCCTGGTGTGATGCTGCCCGAGGGCAGCGTGCGAGCAGGGCTGCTGCCCCCACTAGCCAGCGTCCCCCCCCCCCCGCAGCCTGGGCACTCCCAGCTATTGCTTGGGCAGGGCGGCACCGGTGGGCAGGGCGGAGCCGGGGGCAGACCCCAGGGCTGGCATAGGCCTCTCATGGCACTGGCAGTGCGTTGCGTGGGGAAGTTAACCCAGCACTAATAGTTCCTTCTCCAGCAGCCGCCCTCACTGCTCCTCTCACCCCCGCCCGCCTCCCGGGCAGTCACTGAGCTGGTCCCAGGATTGCAAGGGTTAAATCCAGCCCCATATTTGCCAGGGCCCCGGGGCCGCCTCCACTGTGGGGCGCATGCATGGGGCTGCTCAGTCTGGCCATGGGGCAGTGACAAGGGCAGGCTGCAAAGGGCGCCAGGGCCAGGCCTCGTAAAGAGATATGGGGGCTCTGCGGGGCTCAGCCCACCCGGTGGATTCCCCCCCCAGCTTCCCGCTTTGCCAACCATGCCTGACACCCACCCTCCCGCCCACACAGCTGGAGCCTCTCACTTGCACGGCCTCACTGCAGCAGTGGCGCTGGCACACAGGGGCGAGCGGAGAATCAAGCCCAATGCCTGGAAGGCCGTCGGCAGGGCTCCGGGCATTAGCCCCCCAGCCCTGGGAGCAGTCTGGGGCCAGGCCCTGCGTGTCGGGAGCCCCTGCAGGTCCCTGTGGCTGGCTGGAGCCGGGCGAGACCCGTGGCCCAGAACCTTGCACTGGGTGCCCCAGGGCCCCAGCGAGGGGCAGAGCCGCCCCGAGCGGGGATGGGGGAGGCTCTGCACTGCCCCCCCCCCCAGCAGGCTCTTTCTCCTGCCATCCCAGCCGTGCACCAGCGGTGGGGCGTCGCCCTCCTGTCCGTCCAGTGCGCCGGGCGCAGCTGTCAGCACCCGACTCTGCTCCATGGAGCTGTGCGCCTCTGGCAATGGGACAGTGCGACCCTCACACCACCATCCCCCCCAGCCTGCAGGGCCTCGTCCCCCCGCCCCCGGCTTGGCCAGGCGTGCTGCAGCTCTAACATGTGAGCTGTGGCTTGCAGCTTCCCTCCGGGCCAGGAAGCGTCTGACCTCAGCCCCTCACAGAAGAGACCTGCGAAGGGACGGGAGCGGCTCAGGCGTGCGGGACGGGGGAGGGGGGAGCAGAAAGAGGCTTTGCCTTTAAAAATAACCCCGCTGTCAATCCCATAATAGCTGCTCAGAGCGAGGTGTGGGTAGAGCCCGTGGGGGCGGGACGGCGTGTGATGGACTCAGCTCGCCGGGCCTGCAGCTGGGTCACCCTGCGCCCAAACAATCCGCAGTTGCAGAGGCAGGGGGGCTTCTGGGCAGGCTCAGGAGTGCTGAGTCATCCCCCCCCCGGCCCCCGGCCCCCCATGACCAGTAGCCTCCACCCCCAGACCCTACTCTGGTGCAGTTGGTCTCTGGCTCCCCTTGGCGGCTGTGTGTGGAAGTGCGGGGCCACAGGTAACATCAGCGTCTTCCACCCACGTGGGGCAAAGGGACAGAAGAGGCCGGGCACAGCGCGGTGCGGCCAGGCAGGAGCAAGGGTGGTGGGGGTGTCCCCAGCTCCCCACCATGCATTTCCCCCTCCCTAGCACCGGGCATCTGCTCCCCTGCGCTGAGCAAGTCTCGCCGCCTGCCCTAAGTTCAACCCTCTTCCACAGGACCAAGGACCCTGCACGGAGCCGGGCGCCGCGGCGGAGCCAAGCCGAGTCCTCGCTAGGTGCGCCAGAGGGGGGCTGCCCCTCATGCTGACCATAGCAATGGGGCAGGGCGCTGGGCCCTAAGGTGAATGAACGGAGCCCTGCTGCCCAGCACTTGCATGGGTGAATGAATGGAGCCTTGCAGGTCCTGCCCCGGGGTTTGGGGGAGGGGAGGCCCCCTGTGGCCGGCTGGAGGGCAGCGTGGCTACTGACCCTGCGAGCTCGAGCAGGGGGTGGGTGGGCGCTGCGGCACGCTGGCTCCTGGCTACAATCTCTTTATTGAGCTTGGTGCAGACAGCAAAGGCACCCGGGGCAGGCAGGTCCCCCACCCCAGGAATCCCCACGACACACCATGGCCTGGCTGCCTTGAGCCCTGCTCGGGCACATCTCCCTCGATTCCTGGAGCCCCAGCGCTCCGGGTCCCTCCTTTCCAGTGAGGCCCCACTTCCTCTGGGAATCGGCTCTGTCCTGCCCGTGCCCTTCCTGTGTCCCTCGAGGGGTCCGCTGGGCTGCTCCGTGGGGTGGCCGTGTGCCGTCTCCCCCCCGCAGTTCCCAGGTGCAGAGGAAACCACGTGGTGTTTGGGTCCCAGCCGCGGCTCAGCCAGCCTGGCGCAGAACCAGGCACGTTGGCAGGAGAAGCGGGATCTATTTCTGGAGGAATCTGCAGCCTGATGCAGGGGTAGGATCCCCTCCCCCGCCCCGGGGGGGGGGGCTCTCCCTCTCAATGGGGAAAGGGAAATTCCAGCCCCCCCAGGGGAAACCTGAGCTGTCTGCATTCCAGTGGGGCTGCACTGGGGCTGGCTGCAGGGTAATACCCGGGGGGGGGGAGAAGCAATTGCCAGGTGATTTTGCTTTAATTGGGATCCCCAGCAGTCCCCTCCCCGGGGCGTGACACGTGGTCACAGCTCCTGAATGGGACTGTGGCCCCCCCGCGGCCTGAGCCCGCTCCCCAGAGACGGCCGGGGCTGGGTGTCTCCGGGCGGAGGGCTCATTTGTCCGGGACGATGTACACCTCCTCGGCGTCACTGGGGTCGGGGAAACTGCTGCTGTACAGCTGCTGGGTGTTGGCATAAACGGGCTGGTCTCCGCAGGCGTCGCTCTCCATGTAACACTCCTCGGCCACCGGCTGCTGGACTCTGCGACAGACAGCGGAGAGGGCCCTGGGTTACCCTCTGGGCGTGGGCTAGGGCCTCTGCCACCCGCTCCTGTGCTTAGCGCCTGGGGACAGCCGGTGCCAGCCCCAAAGGCTCTATCCCCTGGGCTGGCCCTGGCTGGCTGGTCAGCCTGGGGTGGCTCCATCGACGGGGGTTAAGTGGAGAGAACTGGGCCGAGACGCGTTTACACGGCAGTGTCTGAGTGGCGCGCGGTCTGCCAATGCCCCGGCGAGGGGGAGCTGGGGTGACCTGCCCTAGGGCCTGCGGGGGGCTGTGGCAGGGCCCAAGTCTCCTGGCTAGCGCCTGACCCTCTGGACCGGCCTTCCGCTCCATGTCAACGCTGCCCCAGGGTGCATGGGTGAAAGCGGCTTGGGCCCCAGCTCCTGGAGACATGGCAGTCCCGGGGCCACGGCTCCTAGCACAGGGGAATGTCACCCCCGTGTCTGGAGTCTGGTCACAAGCTTCTGGTCTTTTTATTCAGGAAACTGACTTTGTCGCAAGAATTTCTCTGTGGCAAATTCAGACAGCAGCTGCGGGGGCAGGGGTAGGTTTGTGGGATGTGGTATGGAGTGACATGTGACTGACTGGGGGGACAGAGCGCCGTGGCAGGGCCTGGGGGGAGGGGGAGAGCGCCATGGCAGGGCGAGGGGGGGACATGGAGCGCCGTGGCAGGGCCTGGGGGGCAGGGACTGAGTCACCCATCATGCCCCGAGGGTGACAAACGAGGTGTTGTTCTCAAATCACCTCCCCAAACTTCCCATATTTGTTAATTTCGTCGGATGCTGTTTCACCATCCCAGGTTTCAGCAAAGCAGCGGGGTTAACCCCTCCCCTTCCAGTCAGGCCGAATCCCCTGGCTCTGCAGATTTGCCAAGGCAAGGTTGCCCCATGGGCGGGGAAGGGAATTAGCCAGGATGTTGCTTAAAACCCTCCTCTGCTCTTGGATGAGGCCAGAACCCAGCCCAGGCGCATCAGGGCGGCTCACCCGGCTCTCGAGGGCTGGCCTGTTTCACCGGATGCTGGGTGGTGGCTCCTTGGCTTCCCAGAGGGTTTAAAGGATTAAGAGCCACCCAGAGGAGGCTCTGTTTCTAAGGGGCTCGGACTGAGCCCACGAGCCAGATGTGGCTCTTGTCTTAAATAACCCAAACTCAGAGAGGAAGGCAGGTGGCTACCACTTTGATCGATTTATCTATCCCCATTCCCCTCCTTTATCTATCTATCCACATCCACCCCCTCGATCTATCCATCCCCATCCATCCCCTCTATCTATCTATCCCCATCCACCCCCTCGATCTATCCATCCCCTCGATCTATCTATCTATCCAT